ATATATATATATATATATATATATATATATATATATATATATATATATGGGCCTAATGAAATAAGAATTAGATAGTTTGTGGTAATTGTGAGGTTTTAATATGAGTCAATCATTTTAGATAATTAATATTATTTATTAAAATAAAACAAAGGATAAGATAGTAAATCGTATTGATTATTCAATTTACTTTAATTAGTTTAATTATTTTAATAAATGTATATATACACACACACAAGGACCAAATCCGGTGTCCTTCTCCGGCACCCACCACCACTCCGGTGACCTTCTCCGGTCACCTTGTCTGAGCAAGACGTCGTCTCCGATGATCGACCACTAAACACCCACCTGTGAGCATTACCGACACCTGGTATCACAATGGTACCACAGTTGGTATTACATCCCTTCTCAAAGTTTACTTGGTGTGTTGTGGGTATCAAATTGTGAATCTTGGTTTATTTGGATATCACATTGTATATATTTTGGGTATCACATTGTGAATCTTGGTGTATTTGGAGAGATAAAAAAATTTAAAATATCTAAAATGCCATTTAATTATAATTTAAAGTCAAATTACCAAAAATATTAATTTCTTAATTTATCCATTGATTTGTGGTTGAGATTGAATCTCACAGTTATTACAAACTAATCAGTTCTCCCTTTAATAGACCCCTATATATGTATGTATGTATGTATATATATAATTGTTGATTTGTAGTTTGGTAATAAGATTGAATACACTTTTGAATTTTAGATGAGTTTTATTTGTATTTGGTGACGTACAAAACGTGATGACATTTTAATGAATAAATGAAACTTTAAGGATATGGTTGTTAGAAAGATCTAAACTTCATCTCTATCTTCCCTTTCAGTCATCTATTATGGTTTCACTGATTCACATGCCTTCAATATCACGTTTACATGCATGAGGTTTGTTAAGTGAAGGCGTACAAATACAGGTGAGTGAAGATAAGCAAAGGCAGCTAAAGAGCTTTGAAAAACGTGTGCACCCCTCCTTTATCAAAACGTCTGCGATCAATTTTTTTTATTAAACTGGATATCTAACCTGTTATACGAGCCGATTAATCTTAGGACGACTACTAGCTTTGTATATAACCCGGTTAAATATGTGTGTGTAATTGGTTTGGTTTGGTTGCGTTTTGGTAAGCAATATATGCTTTCTTACTATTTATTTGATGATTACAAATATATGAGAATTACCAATAAAATTCATTGAATTTTACAAGGAAACACAATAAATTGTCGTCCAAGCGTTGCTCAATTGACTAAAATACATTTGTACGAAGAACGATACTTTTTTTTATGTCTTCTTCTTTAGTACGTGACTAGTTGCACGAAATTGTTGTGCTAAGACGTCCATTCAGGTAATTGGAAACATGCGAATGTGTACTCGCTTGTTCTTGTGATGATCGATATCTATCATCATTTAAATTCACGGTTTACTACACCAGGAAGGTGTATATGTTGGAAGTACTCATCCCAATCGATTATCGTTGGATCAAAGTAGAACATATTATCCTCTTCTCCGCTCCCTTTAACCGCCCTACGTAACTTTTCAGTATTCATATCGTCATAGCTGCATTCCCCAAATTAAAATTTTGTCAAGTAAAGATTAAGTAGATTAAATTTCCTTTAAACCGATTGATAGTTATTGATACTTACAAGCTTTTCGTGAACAAGTAGGGTTTGTAAAGGTCGACTAGCCGCAACACAAAGTTGATTTTTCTTTTAAGATTCTTGTATGTGCCCCCAAAAGCTTGGCAAAATACCAAATTCACAAATTTAAGTACCTATAAAATTGAATGAAAGTTAAATTTATTAAGACATAGATGAGAGACACTACAACAAAATTAGATTTATAAGACGTTAAATTATCCAAATGTTTTAATAGATTGTTTTCTATTATGACATTTGAACATATTTGTCTTCTTATAAAGTTCATTTTGTTGTAGCGAGAAAGAGAGAAAGAGAGAGAGAGAGAACAACGAGTATAAACCTGCAGCGGAAGGAAGTAATGAAGAGTGATATATCTATGGAAGCTAGCCATTGAACTCAACACTCTAACCTGACCAACTATGACAGGCTTACCATCCTTCTCAATCCATGGATGCTCGGTAAAGTACAGGTAGCCACATCTTTGAATTGTAGTGAACTTCAAAGGGTTTGATACAGAAGACCCAACATGATAAATTGTTTCAGAAAATGTTTGATTTGCATGCGCAGTGATTGTCGCAATCATAGCATTCACCACCATGTCAGCCGGTATCTGCCAAAAAAATTCACCACATTATTAATTGTTCTGAAAATTTATGTCAGAATGTTCTTTAAGGAATTAAACTCACCACATCATATATAGCTTCAGGATCTCCAAGGAAACAAGTTAACCTGCCTTTACCATAGCCAAGAGCCAAGCTGTCAATGGTCCTGCAAATTTCCTTCTTCTTTGAGTTCATATATTCAAACAAACTTACTGTCTCTGTTTTAGGGTTTAAGATTCATGCATCATTGATCACATGGGTGGATATATGCTTTTCTAATTTGTAGTTGATCATGTGTTACCTGATGCCTTCAACCCAACCTGGGAATGGTTGTAGATAAGTACTAGTGATAATGGTCGGACGTAGAATGACCACCGGTATATTTCCTTTCAAGTGCCCCACAATCATCTCCCCCAATGCCTTGGTAAAAACATATGTATTTGGCCAACCAAAGTGATTTGCCCTGCATCAAAAATCAGAATTTACAAGAAATATTTATGAGATTGTTAATTTACGTAGTTGGTACTTCTTTTTTTTATTGATTAATTTGTATATCCAACCCGCTATGCGAGCCGACTAATCTTATGGTCTGTTTTGTAGATAGTCCGGAGTCACTGTATTTGAACCTCCGTAGCCACAAGGAGATTTTTATTGTTCCTTGGATTTGAACATGGGACCTTCAAACTCAAACCAATCAGACACTATTCTTATGGTTTAGTCGCTACTTTTTATATAGATGTGTCCTTGCTTAATTTTTAATTATGATTGTTTATGTCACATCATATTTTTTCTATGCATTAGATTTGGTAATTGTTTAACCTATTTCCAGTTTTTGGTGAAGTGAAATATACAAATCATTTAATAAAATGAATTTGGGTTCCTAGCTAGTTTTATAATTAATCAACAATTATTAATTTATTAAATTATGTTTCTAAAAGTTTTATTTTTTATTTATAGATAATCAAATTAAAAATATTAATATTAATATTTAAAAAAAAAACTCCAATTGTGTTATGCATATATAATTACAAAAGTTCAATAAATATATACAAATTAATGCATAGAAGTAGAAACTTTATAAATTATAAATAACATAGTATATCTCACGCAAGTAAATTAATAAATCAACACAAATATTATTTGTTTAAAAATTGTTTTATTAAATTATGAAATATCTTATTAAATTAAAATAAAATTATTTATATAATTATTCGATTATGTATATTAACAATTACTTTATTCTTTCAATAAATAGTTAATATATTAATGTTAGTTGATGAATTCATATTTTGGAATTAAATTATATATTCAAATATTAATAAAAAAATAAATTTTAATTACCTATATATTTTGCGTGACCGTTAGGCAATTGTTTTTGGCACTTTAATAAATTGTGCTGTTATTGCAAATTTTCAGAACTCCTATTATAATATTCCAAAATTAAGCATAAAAAGAAAACGTATTCAAATATTAATTAATTAATTAATTAATTAGATAAAATAGCACAAGAAGAAAAGTGAAACCAATTAGATACCTTTGCATACCCAAATCTATCATGGCCAATTTAATCGATTTATCGTCAGCATTTTGATCAGATTTGAGCTCTTTCAGCTTATCCTCGACGATTCTCCTCTCCTCTTCTATGTCTAGCCCACTTGTTCCATTGAGTGAATCTCCCAAATAGTATGGAGTTTCAAGCATTAGTCCGGGCTTCTCACCGGAGACATAGGCTGAATGAATATATATCATCTTAATTAATCAGACGAACACAAAAAGAAATCTTGTAACTTTTTTTTCCAAGAATCATTAGTTAAGCTGTATGCAAACTATTTTTATCTTTTGGAAGTTATGAATGATGATTCCGAGAGGTAATTTGGTATCGACGATTATGAAACGTATGTAGAAGCTAGCTAGCTAACCAGTGGACACATGGAGAAACAGCTTTATGTTGACACATTTCTGTGCGAAGTTCAAAACGACTTTAGCTCCAAACGTATTAAGAGCCAGGGCAACATCGTATCTACAACAAACCAAATAATTAGAATTCATTGATCTTGAATTAAGCATTCAAAGGATGATCACTAGCTATTTGGCAGTACCTTTCATCGAAGTCGGTGGTGGCAGCTACATTAACAACAACATCAATATGTCTCCACATTTCTGCTTTCAAATCCGGGTCCTGTATTCCCATATCCTCGCAAGTGATGTCTCCCGCAACCGGAGTAACTTTTTCAGACAAAAAGTTTTGCAGGTTTGTACCATGTTTCTCTTTCAGAAGCTTAAACAAGTCCTTTGCTACTGCCTATACATATAATAGCAAAAAGATAACGTACTACGTGGGATTATCAGCCTTCTTTGAGCATTAAATATAAAATAAAATATTTTAAGAACCCATCAAATTGAAGCATGCCAGTATGCGATAAAGTCATGAATGGTACCTCCGTGTTGAAGCGTTGCAAGGCGGACTTTGCATCAGCGGCTCTAATGAGAAGATAGAGTTTCTTCACATTTGGTTGAACTCTAAGTATCTTCTCCACAAAAACTGCAGTTATACGTACACTTATAAATATAGAAATCAATATATATATATATATATATATATGTTGTATATACACACACACATCTATGAACATGGGCGGTCTCACAAACACATCGACTAGGGCTGTTTTTTGAGTAACTTAGTGATCTATATGAATCTATACAGCATGGCCTGCTGTACGTATGTAAGGGGATTCTTTCTACTACCCTACTTGGTGTACTACGAAATTAATTTGTCAATATTTGTATTGTTTGAATGATGATTTTACGCTATAATTATCAAATCCCGTAAATGACTTTTCGCAAACTAGAATTCATCGAAACTTTATTCATGTTTCATTTTTGTTAGTTCTTGTCCATCTCTTTAGGCTTCATGAGTTCACTTCCAAAGTGGTCAATAGCATGGGCTAACATAAAAGAAATTGAAAGACTCGTGAAACCATTATAAAAAAAAGGTGAACTTTTGTACAACTCCATCTAGCAACACATCCATGACACTTCATCATACCACATGCAGGGCGGGAGTCCCCATGCATTAAATTTAATGTCAGCTTTTCCAATTTAAGGCTCTAGAGAACCGCCCAAGAATGCAGATTAACCGAAGTTGATTAATTCTGGACCGCTCTGCTGAATAAATCCATACATACATGCATATATAGTATATATTCATATATATACTACAGACTACAGAGAGAAAGAGAGATGGACGTTACTTTTGGCAAGAAAACCAGTGGCACCAGTAATTAATATGACTTTGTTCTCAAGAAAATCAACAATGCTACCCAATTCCATTCTGTAACAAGTAGCTGACGATCAATATGGGCTCAAGTTTAGGTATGTGCTCTATATTCCTTGTTCTGCAGAGTTTTCTGCGTACATGGGGTGTGTATGTGTATGTGTGTGTGTGTGTGAGAAAGAGAGAGAGAGGAGATGAGGAAGTTTTGCAAGAAGTAGTAAGAGCTGGTGGATGAAGATTATGCAAATGATATAATAGTGGTGGTATATATTTCTAAAACTTAAAAACAAATTGTAAAATTGAAAGGGTGAAGGGGTGAATAATGATAGAGTACACGAAACCACGCTTTTCTCCACTCGTTCGCTTGTCCTCCATATTTATTTGACATGCATATATAGTTGATGCCCCACTTCACATTTATATTATTAGTTGGATATTAATGTAATATTTTGAGTTTCCTGGTTAACATTTTCTTATGATAAATAAAAACATTAACATTTAACTTCGTTACTAATTATATAATAAATTAATATGCTCAATGAGTTATCAAAGACAACACATTAAAATTGATAAACAACAAGATTTTTACTCCTCTAATATGTTTTTGAAGGCTTGTTTGGTTTGATAAAATGTTTTTGAAAGATTTAAATTTTGTAGAATATTTTGTAATTGAAAGAATTGATTTGAAATATCTGGTGTCTTTGGTTCGTAGGATTTGAAATTGAATTGAATTTTATTTTTTTTAATTAATAAAAACAAATTATAAAGAACTATAAAAGTTGTTAAATTGTTTTTTTATTAATTGATTATTACAAAACAACTTTTTAATATACTTTAAAATATTATTGCAAACAAATTCTATATGAAATCACGGAAACACCAAGTACCTCCAACAATGGGATTTTTAAATCTCATGTTTGTGATTGTGGGATTTCAAGTAAGTCTCTGAATTTCAAATCCAAACATTCATTCGATCCAAATATCAGAAGCCAATTCCAAATTCTTTCAAATCTTATTCAATTCCGCAAACCAATCGAGACTTTAATTAGTTTCCGAAAGAAGTAAAGGCTTATTATAACCCCCCCCCCCTATATACAGTAGGCATATGTAATTGAAGTTGTAGTTCCGTAAATAACAACATATGAAATTAAATATGTATTTAATTTTAATAAGAAACAATATCAAATACATTGTTTAGTAATTAGTAGGTGTTTTTTATGATGATGATGATGATGTAATAGTGAATAACCAAAAGGCTTATCTTAACGTGATAGTTGAGAAATATTTAAACGAATTTATTACCAAGTTCTTATCATGTTCAAGAAGATCCCGTTCTCCAGCCAAAAGCCCATATACACCGTACATATGTATATATACAAACATAAATGTATCTAAAGTCGTACACCAAACAATTAATTAAGGTTCATCTGGATCGACGCATATATCATTTGTCAGAAAAGTTTTCATGATGGTTGTTGGGTGACCTCCTTTCTTGTAAGTTCTAACTAATCAATCTTTTTCATTGGTTAATTTCATATTTGTTGACCACCTGGAAATAAATCCCCACTAACCTCTTCAATTTCAGCTCACCTACAAAGGATTCTTTATATTAGGTTGGCAAAACCATCTTTAAATACATATATTAATTGCTGGTAACTGTAATCATGTGTCCTTTCTGAAAGATATTCCTAAATCATAACTGTTACTAATAAGAATTCATCTACTAAATTCATACGCATGCATTGCAACATCTAATGGCGATGATGCATTGCATTGCTAGCTAGCTAGCTAGGGCCAAAGAATGAATCGTGTGTACTTTGAAATGTATATATGCAGCTAGAATCACGAGCCCACTAATTCACAGCTATCCAATTAGTAAGAAAACAGAACATATTGTAGAAGAGATTCGTGAGACAACCTTGTGAAAAGAGGAATCCCTGTCCAATCTATTTTCTGTGTCCTGTGTGCAACGAGAGAGTTGAATCGTTGCAACATATTATGATTCAATGCAAGGTGGCTCCAGAGATGATGACCGTTCTTCGCAGATGGTGGACAGCCTTTCAATTCCTCATGGCTACGACACAATGGACACTCTCCTTTCAGCGGCTGATTCAGCAAAGGGTTATGAAGCCAATGAAGGAAATCTTGGATGTTGTCATCATGGTGTTCGTTTGGGCTCTTTGGCGGGCTAGAAACATATCAGTTTTTGAGGGAAAGGATACAAGAAGTTGCCTTATTGTTAGCCAAGTGCAGTTTCAAGCTTTTTTCTGGATTAGAAATGTTTGGTGTAGTGACCCGGTTGTGCTTGTAACGATCTGATATACTCCTAGCTCCTTGTTAGTTCTGTTTTCTTATAAAATTTACCATTCCAAAAAAAAACATTATAGAAAAGATTCGAATTAGTATAACGTTACTTCCATCTAAGAGCTTAAATACGACACTTTTCAAAATGTCATATAAAATAACTAATAAAATGATTAACTTTTTATTCTTATTAAGTTTTCAAAACCTAGAACTTGTTAGCTAACATCGTCCTAACAATTTATTAGCATCATTGTTATATATGTCACTCAATTTGTTGGTCTTTTAAAACTTGAAGTCTAGTAACAAAATATGGACAACCTAACAAGGACTAGCGACAAAAGAGACGCCGTCACTAAAGTACCACCATGAACGACGGGTCAACGACCAATTGGTGACAACCTCTAACTAAAACGTCCACGAGTTTAATTTTTATATTCTTTATTTGGTTTTACAAACTCCGTCGCTAACTAGTCGACAAAAATTGATATTACTAACAGTCTAACAGATAAATGATGAAAATTTATTTTTAAGTTCTAAATTTTTTTGAAGCCCATCGCTAACATTATCATTTAGTAATGGATTACAAAAACTATTTCTAAAGGAAAATAAAACTTAGGGGCTGTTTACCCGATTGCTTATCCAGTAAACGCTTAACGATAGGAGTCAACACTATAATTTATTTTGATGCGTAAGATTTTAGTATATCAAAATATATCGAATGCAACAATTTAGTAGGTAAGCATTTACCTGGGTAAGAGTCGTCATCCTCACTTATTGGGTAAGACTCTCCATCATTCTCATCGCTCTTACCGGGTAAGATTTTTGACCCTTCTCATGTTCATCCGAAGAAGAAATTTATCTAGTAAATACTTACCAAGTAAGTGTTTAGTAAACGAAACCTTAAAGTACACTATAATTTTCGTCTAGTTGTTTGTAAAAGATTGTGAATTTTGTTCTTATGGTTTTGAAATTTTGATTTACGTCCTAGTGATTTGTAATTTGTTTATGTTTTCGTCCCCATATTTTGTAATTTACTGCATTTTTGTCCATGAGACTAAATATATTAAAAATCCTCCGTTTAATTTAGGGGTATTTTAGTCTTTTTAAATTTTTCTTTTTTTTTCTTTTTTGGTATTTTAGTCTTTTTGATTTAATCAAACTAAATTTTTTTTTGATAAAAAAATTTATACAGGAAAAAAACTATACTATTTTGACATTATTTATGATTAATAATTAAATATTTTTCATACAATTCGTTTGTTTCTTATTTTTCATCATTATAGTTTTAATTTTTTATTAGTTGAATTTTTGTCAATAAAATCATTTAAATGCAAGTTATTGAGTACCCCTTGTATGATAGTATTTTTTTTCTTCATTTGGGACTAAACAATTAAATTTTTTATAAGACCAAACAATTATTTATATTAGACTACTTTTACCAAATAAATATTTAGGATTTTATTAATTAAAACATAATTTTATAAACTTATTTTAACGCATTTATATAAAAGATACCTTTGTTTAATATAATTAAAACATTATGAGACTAAACAATTGTACGTCTTATTGATAAAATTACATACATTTATTTGATAATTAAAATAGCCTAAATGATTAATTGTTAGTTTTATAAAAATATGTGAGGGTACTCAACAGCTAGCAATTGAACAATTTTTGTGTCAAGAATTACACTCATAAAAACTAAAACTAAAATGACCAAAAATATTTATAAAAAAACTAGTTGTACTAAAAGCATTTTAATTATTTTATCATAAAAAATAACAAAATAAAAAAAATTACTATTAACTTTTTATTTAAAAATATATTATTTTGATTAAATCAAAAAAGACAAAAAAGCCAAAAAATATATTTAATAAACCAAAAGGAAACCAAAAAATATATTTAATAAACCAAAAAATATTAAAAAGACTAAAATACCCTCAAGTTAATGGAGGAGTTTATTAGTCTTTCTATCGCCATCATCATCCACCTCCTGTTATCGCCACCAGGATCCACATGCTACCGTCAACGACTTCCAACCGGTGACCTAAAGATAAGCATTTTCTAATGAGGTGAGCAAGACCGACTTGAAGAAGGCACAAACGTCTTCATGAGTGCCTAAGTCCAACCAATTTTTTCTCTTTGATTTTAGATCTTGAATACGATTGTGGAGATACATATCTGATTTCCATATTTGGTTTTATATATGAGGTTTTTTTGTTTCTAGATCTATGTTCTTAAGGAATTTTTCTGGTTTAAAATTCAAAGGTATTACATTTGGTATTACAATGGTATCATATTTGATATCACAGTACATCTTGTATGTATTTGGGGTATCAAATAAGTATTGTTTGTATGCATCTTTTTTAACAGTGTCAATATTTTTGGGTATCACATTCCGTATCTTGTGTATGTTGTGTTTACTTGGTGTTCACTCAAATAAGGTTTATCGGAGAGAGAAAGTGGGGAGAGAGAAGATTTTTAAAATACCTGAAATATCCTTTAATTAAAATTTAAAATCAAATTACCAAAAATTTAATTTTCTAATTTATCTTTTGATTTGTGGTTGAGATTGAATTTCACGGTTATCACAAACAATCAAGTTCTTCCTTGAATGTTTCCTAACTACTTAAAACTTTATGTTCAATTTTTATAAAACTAATTGATAAACGTGTTCAAATATATAATAAAACGTTGAGGCTACTAATTTTGTAGAATGCTCTATGAATTTTTAGATTTTATTTTAAATGTGAAACTATTTTAAATTTTTATTTTCGATTTAAAATAAAATTCCATATCTTGTTATATTGCATGAGTACATTGTTAAAATGT